GATTTGTCTTGCTGTCCCGACGGTGTACATCTTCTGGTCGTGTTGTTTCAGGTACAGATCTCGGCTGCTGAACCAGTTGTTCAGGAAAATGGTGTACCCTTTGCCAGGAAGATCGGCATTCAAGTCAAGTACAATTTTCGTACTTGCCAGTCCAGCAGTCTGGTCTTAACTGGTGTAAATCTTAAAGTTCCATGTGTATCCAGCGGCAACACCTGTGCTCTGGTAGACTCGATACACCTTGATGCCAAACCTTGCACGCTTCTTGGGGATGTACTGCTTGAACTTCAGTTTCCCTTTGAATTTCCAAAGGGACTCGTGGTAGTAATGTTGCTAGACGGAATGTAGGTGGACTTGAACTTCTCGGTCAGTTCGTCTACCACCAGGCAGAGCTTGTAGAGTCAATCAGTCGCATCTGCACGGCTGTTATCGACGAAATGCAGATAGGCCAGCAAGTCCATAAATCTGTCGGGGGGCATGGTATTAGGAAAAAATGGAGTCTCAAGTATTGAGTCTCTTATCAAATAGGACTTGGCAATGGTTCCATGACGGGAACACTAACATCTCATCTGATGTTGTGTCGAACCAGCTTCGCACGTGACTTGGACTTGCTTCTGATTGACTTTTCAGGTGTTCAGTGGCATAGCGGTTGGTCTCATTGGCAATGTGCAATGTCAGCTCTTGGGGGGAAGAAATGCGCAAAGATTTCGAGAGGAGTGCTGTTTTTGTCTAGTTCTTGCACTTGAACACCCACTTTGCCTTGAAAGCCATGTCGGCGGGGGAAGTTGTTCCTCAACCATCCATTCAACGGACATAGAAGTCTTGACCTTGGCAGGCCTCGGTAATAGTGGTTGTTGCTGTCACTGGTTTCAATTTCTGAACTATGTTCAGATTCTGCCGTGAAATCTGAACGTAGAATATTTCATTAGAATATTTCATAAAAGTAGGTTATTGCTTTAAGTTTATTTCCTTAAAAATTACAAAATCCTTAAGATTAGAGCTGATTCAGTTGAGATCTGAATCTGCTTGCCCTGAAGAAGGCACTCAGTTACCAAAAGCTCGGCAATCACACATATCAGAGCACTGATTTTATATTATATTCTTGTCAATATACTGTACCTCTGTCTTGTGCAGTTTGTATTTTTGGACAGGAAACTGAGCTTGGTGTTCTCCAGGTTTCCGTGCAGTTACCCATTGAATCAGTCATTCCTGAACAATGCTTAATGCAATAAGGGTAGTTTTAAGACCTCAGTTGTCATACATGCCAAAGGGTTTTGGATGACTGCACCTAGACCAATATCCAGCATTTGCAGAAGCAATTTGAAGTTAGGAAAGTGATGGATAAGCCTTACTGACTGCTTGTGCTGTGCTGCTGGACAGTTTCGAGTCAACTTGGACCCAAAGGAGCGTGGTCCCATGCCAACTCGGCCCCATGCCAACATGGAGCAAAATGTTATTAACTGAGGATGTGCCTGTACATAAAGTTTAACACACAGAATGAAACCCTGCACAATGTGTAAACTGATTAATCGCAAAAAAATGGAAACCTTGTAGATGATGATTATGGTTCAAAGTGAAGTTGCTAAATGTGACTCACTTCCTTTTTGCAGTTACCAGGTAAGGTTTCATGAGAAATATATTGACTGGATTGTTACATTACAGTGTTTACTATTGACTACAGCTTGCCACTGTACCTGTAATTTGGAATTTATTTTAACTCACTGACTGGTGACTATGAGTGTACTCATAGTCATAGATTCTTCCATTATGAGTATACTCACAGGAAATCGAAGTTCATTGTAATGTAAATTGAATACACTGGCATCATTGAAGAGCACAACAAATACGCTGCTGGCAGTGTGGAGGACATACATCTGTAAAATGCTCAAGTTCAAATGGACATGTGAAAGGTACATGTACCTATTAAATATGCACCTGTACATGTGTACTGTGCTTGGCATATGGGAATTTCCCTTTGAAATCATGTGCGGCAGTCAACGTGTTAAGCACCAAAACATGTTATCTCTCCGTACATACATGTATGTGTACATGTATGTGCGATTTCTAATTACATGTACATGTATTATGTTCACAAAAATAAATGAAAAAAAAACAGATTTCAGTGGTTGTGCATTGACAAAAGTCTGTGCGAAGTGGAATCCTTTAATTTTTTGAAATTGAATGATGCTTCTTAAGTTTTATGTAACAAGTGTACATTAAATTGCATGCCTGCATGTATGTGCATGTACTTAAATTTAGCGAAAGTTTTGCACTTTGAATGGTAATTCATATTGTTAGTTTATTATCAATAAATAAGAATTTGTTTTTCGTAAGTAAGTTTAGGTTCAGGGTAAGTGTACCATTTGATTTGCATGTCTATGAATCTTGTTTTGTCCGGTTATTGACGTATAATATGCCAAACATAGTACAATCATGTAGCAAATCAATTTTTGCAAGTCCAAGTCAAGTCTCAAGTCAGTTTTTGCAAGTCTAAACCAAGTCACAAGTCATTTAGTTCAGTCACAAGTCATTTGATCTCAGGTCAAGTCAAGTTGCAAGTAAATTTGGTCTAAGCACAAGGACAGGTGTGGCATTAGGCAGACAATACTGAAGTAGGAGTCTCACGCCGAACAAAGTCTTATTATTTTAAGAATGCAAAGTGTAAGTTGATAGGCCCAGTTTGAAACTTTAATGGGTGTGATTGAGTAGTTTTCCAACTTGTGTTGCTAACAAATCATAATGTGCAAGTCCAAGTCAAGCCACAAGTATTGAACTAATTGTTAGAAGTCAAGTCACAAAAATAGGGACTCAATTCCTGCTCAAGTCCAGGACAATGACTTCAGTCTACAACTCAATTTTTGATAACAGGAATGGTTACAGTTTGATGGAAGTTTTACATGTAAGTGAATCTTGTGTACTGCTTAAAAGAAGTGTTACATGTAAGTGGGCAAAAATCGTCTTAGTTGCAAAACAGAACATCTATAGAAGCAAGAATTTTTGGGATCCACAAGCAGTCCCTTCTGTGTCCTTTGTGTAAGTGGAAAGCCATGCTGTTGGGGCTTTGAGCATTTCATATCATCCAGTGCATTCTCACAAAGTTGCTACAATAGTCTAAAGGGGGTCTGGACTACTCAACCATTTGCCAACCTGACTTGGACCTACATAGTGTTACGATAACTCAAACTATTGAGACAACTCAACTGTCAGTGTGTTAAAAGAAGAGACAAGTCATCCGTCGAGACAAGTGTCCACTCAGCCAAGTTGTCTATTGAGACGTGTGATTTTACATTAAATTCAAACTGATTGATACTAGCACTACTACTGGCTTCATCTGAGTAGAGTTGCAACATCACGCAATGCACAAAATTCCAAACATATCAAATGGGTTAAAATACCGTGCTCTTTCACAGCTTGTCCCGTATTTATGTTTTATATACATGTACACAGACGTCTCATAAAGTCAAGTTGTCTCTATGTCAGAGTTGATTTGGCAAACAGTCGAGTTGTCCGACATCTGTCGAAGGCTTGGTGGGTCGAAGTTGACTCAGGATAGGTCCAAGTTGGCATGGGTCCGAGATGGTTTTGGTCTGAGTTGACCTGATCCCTGCTGGACCACAGCCAGATTTAGGACCACATACAACCCCACAACACAGGCAGGTTCTGTGCTGTCATCATTTGTTAAAAACTAAATTACAGTTACTGTCATGGAAATCAAATCCACTCACTTTCATTATGAGAATCCAATATGTGTTTATCACTTTTTCTGCAACACATTGAGAACTGTGGACATGGCAACCAGGCACACACATTGGTTGCAGTCTTTTTCTGGAAGTTTCACACATGCAACCTGTCTGAAGATAGCAGCTTGGCTAAAGATACAGTTCTGGAAACTCAATACCTTGACCGCATTACTCTCCACTGTGTATGAATAGTCTGTTGCCACTGCGCGTGACCACGAGTACACACACACATTCCGCTCTACCTTCAGCGATTCGTACTTTATTTAGGGACAAATCTCATAAATATTTTGACCAGCTAGGAGTAAGATTTAAGGTTGGTGCATCTTAAAGATTAATGTCTAACATTTTCTGCAAATCATGAAAACTCTTCATTTCAATGCATTTGAAAAGCAGCAAAGTCAGCTAACATGTATCTTCATGCATGCCTGTTGAGCACATCCCACCGTTATGTCATCAAACCAACACAAACACAAAATTTGACCTCCCATTTTTCTGAAATTGGCTTGCTTGGTTGTGGAAATAGAATAAGTCATTTCTCTCATCTTAATTTTTCGCTGATGAATTTATTGTAAGTTTGACTTTTCGGTGGCCAAACTATCTCCTTAACCCTAGATGCCAAAATATTTGAAGCCTTTTTGGAATGGCTTTAATTGAAGTTTTATCAACAGCTATAAATGCAGAAACATCCTATATTCTATGACATCAAACAGACATCATCAGTTTGGATTTTTCTTCATCTCCCCAAATAACATCAAGAGCCAATTTCCACTCACAGACACTTTTCAAATAAAATGGACTGTGTATATGCACTTGGAGTTGTGTGTAATTTGACCTGAGAGGTGTTGTTTCTTCTTAGGCTTTAATATTGCACATATTCTATTTCTACCAGCAGCAGAATTACAGAATATTTACATTTAAGTATAATAAAGCTTAATTAAAATTCTGCAAAAAATTCTGTTAAAAAAATTAACCAACATTAATGGACACGGGGAAGGATGGAGGAAATTCGTACTTTGTGCTAAAATATGGGGAAAAACTGTTTATATAAAAATCAGTTTCAAATTACCTGTACATCGTAAGTTGATTTGGTCATGTTGGTCAAAAAAGGTAAGGGATATGTACATTCATTTGCAATAAACCAAGTTTCCTTAAAAGAAAATTGAACATACTGGCAATGAATACACAAAGCCAATACAGTGGCAACTCACTTGTGCTTTAATGTACCGTTGTTACTATGTACATGTATCTTGTCTCACTGTTTAGCTTGTGTCAAGTTGAATGTGACAAGGCTGATCTACACAAGCACCATCAATGTCGTCTTGGGTACCAGAGAGTTTGACATGGCTACAGAAGGGGAGCTACAACGCATTCCACCAGAGAAGGTAAGAGCCTAAGTCTGTGTGACCTGCCAACTCCTGATATTCTAGGTGCCTTTTTGTTTACTAACAAGTGTTCACAAATGCATAATAAATACACAAATGTAATATAACATGCACAATGCCAATATTCCAAACAAGCGGGTGTACCCAACATGCAGGCCTTGACCTTAAATTTCTTGAGAGGCAAGGCCAGTTGGCCTTCTTGAGTGCCTTCAAAGTCTTAGGCAGTATTTACATGTCCTGTTGTGTTGAAAGTGC